CCTACCCTCCCCCTTTCCTTATATTTAGCAGCACCCTAAGAATGTCTTGGCAGAGGAAACTGGGTGTGAAGTTTGAAGAAGCTCTTGGAGTGCTCGGTTGGTGCTTGTGGGGGATCCTTGCGAAGCAGAATCACCTCCCCTTAAAGGAGGGGCCCCCACCAGCAGCCTGACTCTGCAGATAGCCAGAGATCTCTTACTGTTCCATTTATTTAGGGGAAAGTGGAGGCATGGCACTTGCATAGAAGAGGCAGCTTCTGCCAATGAATGTCCACCCAGAACACTCTCAATATTTTACCTCTCACCATCACACACAGGAGAGCGACTTTAGCCTTCTAACAGGATCTGGTTCACCTATCTGGAATTTGCCCTCACCTAAAGCAGAAAGGGTGCCCTTGCCATTCATGTAATTTTCTAAGGAAATTTATTTCGAACTAAGCTGAGAACCTAGGAGCATCACTAGGGAGGGAACAAAGACATCTCTCAAGTCATTTGAAGGTGAAAAATATTCCATAGGAAGTCCAGTGTTCTTAATTAAATATTAGCTGTAATTAGCCGAAGTGCAAATGTTGGGAATATTAATTAGGGTCTCTCTGGAGCAGCTGTCGGTGTTAATAAGTAGCTGTAGGGGGTCCTGCCAACATCTGTTTGAGACCTCCAGGTACAAGATACAATGCACAGCCCCAGTGTTCCTGAACAAGCTAGCTGTTGTCCACTTGATTCTCACCGAATTGGTCCTCAGAGCTTGACACCTTTGTCTGCCAGAGTGGTGCAGATCTTGAGAGATTTTGTTGCACTGGCTTCAAGGACTTAGCTGGTCCTGGCCTTTCGTATGCCAGGCTCTGGCTACTCTGGAAATAAACCTCAAAACTTGAGCTGGCACTCAGGTTTCCCATACTGCTGCGCCACCAAGTATCCAGGGTCACCTTCTGCATCTGGCAAACAGAATCACTGGTATCCTGAATCCTGTACCTCAGCTCCTGACTTCCCCATCGAAGGAGGCAAAGTAAGTTTGAGTACCAAGATATATATTACAGAGAGGGGTGTGTATTCATTTTACAAACTGAACTGACCTCTACAGCAGATGACTCACAAATGAAAGCAGAAATGGGTCTTAGTTCTGCTCCTTGCTTTCCCATAAATGGTCTGTGCCCTGGATCTTGCATGATTTTTTTTCTCAGTTCTAAATGAACTGAGAAACATTTCTGACAGCTAAGTTAAGTAGACTAGGTAAGGGTCTAGAACATGCAAAGCAAGAACTCTTGACATCCACGTCATTAGCCTTTGGGCCCCATGGCTAGTCCTTTGAGAGTTTGTGCATTGCTGGGATTTGGCAGGATCACTGGTGTCTAAGAACTAAATGCTAAGAGCACAGCCTTCCTAGGCTGTGACAGCCAAAAATGTCTCCTGTCATTGCCTTGAACTATTGACATTAAGTACCAAGCTGAAAGTGAAGGGCGATGTTGCACAGCTTGTCCCCTGAGCACCAATGAGTAAAAGGCACGCTCTGTGCCTTGTGGGTGGGTGTGGTGTCATTTGTATGTGTGTGTGTTGGGAGTGGTGTCTTGTGTATGTGTGTGTGTGTGTGTGTGTGTGTGTGTGTGTATCCATTTAAGTTTACAATCACACATCTAATGAAGTGAAGAAAATTGCAGAAGAGAGAATCTAACTTATTCTTTGTGCCATTCATCACCGTTGCTAAGTCAAGGAGCAGCCAATGATTACCCCCTCCTTTGCCGAGCCAGAATATCTGCCCTTTCTCCTCCTCCTGTGTGGCTGTTAGACTCATCACCTGCCCAAATTCTATGCTCAATAGTGATTTCCTAGTTGGATTCCCCATATCTAATGCTATTCTGCAATCGCTGCTGAAAAGATTTTCCTACACAGGTCCAGACAGTTTAGACTGTGAGAGTTGTATGGTCTCTGTCACAACACACCAACTCTGTGCTTGTTGTACAAAAGCAGCATAGGCAATTTGTTAAACAAATGAGCCCATTTATTGGATCATGTCCCAATGGAGCTTTATTAACAAAAATCAACAATGGCACAGGGTTGCTCTATTAGTTGTTTGCCAAGCCAGCCTCTGTAGGCTAGGTTCTAGGGTCCTCCCAAAAAAGAAAAGTACTTAGGTTCCGTAACAAAACAGCACACACACACACACACACACACACACACACACACACACGTTACATTGGGTCCTTTGGATCTTAAGGGACAGAAAACCACCTTAAAAGTAACACAATCACTGAGTCTGAGGGCTCATATCTATAACCTCAGCTACTCAATAGACTGAGGTAGGAGAGTGGCAGGTTCAAGGTCTACATGGATGACTTTGTGAAATGAAACCCTGTCTCAAAAACGGACAGTCAAAGGAGAGAGGAGGGTACAGCTCAGGGCTTGAGCATTTGACTGTAATGCATGGTGCCCTGAGTTTCATCACTGTTACCACAAAAAAAAAAAAAGAAGAAAAAAGCAAGGGGGAAATGTGATTCTAAAATATGATTTGAAAAGTTTGAGTTATGCACAATGAAGCTGTTTTGGAGAAGTAAAATGTTGAATGGAGATAATGGTTCAAAAACTCATGCGTGGTGTCGGGCAGGGGTGATACAAGCCTTTAATCCCAGCACTCGGGAGGCAGAGGCAGGCGGATCTCTGTGAGTCTGAGGCCAGCCTGATCTACAAAAGCTAGTTCCAGGACAGGCTCCAAAGATACAAAGAAACCCTGTCTCTGAACCACCCCCCACCAAAAAAAAAAAATGTCATGCACGGCTCTAGGAAGATGTACCTTAGGTGAAATCTCAAGAATACCGGGCATGTGGGCAAATGGTAACTGCACAGAGGCATTGGGAAGCTGACTATCTGGATCAGGTTTTTTTTCACATTGTCTATGTGTATAAAAACATCAGATTGTGCCTGTTAAATGCGTACACTTCTATGTTAATGGTTGCTTAGGAAAGCTATTGAAAAAGAGAATATATATCCCCTTTTGTAAGTCAAACAGCACTGTTCCTAACTACCCGTGCAGTTAGCTTCAATCTTGACATGATGTCACCTAGCCCTGAGAGTTTCTTCTGTTTCGCCCAGCTCCTTGGCACCATTTTGTTCTGTGTAACCACCTGCAGGCAATTCCCTTTCAATGGCACTCCTTGGCAGTCCCAGGCTTACACTGTTTCTAAAGTTTTCAATTATTTCTGTGACTGTATCACAGTGGAAAGAAAGATGCTCAAATTCTATAACTCTGTCCTAGGCTGACAAGAACTCACTGGCATGACTAGGAAGAAAGCTGAAGAGTTAGCTAAATCAATCGCTCTAAGCCAATACTGTAATTGGCAACTGATGTCATGTGGCTGACTTTGGTGGTCACTCAGAGACCACCAGGGACAGAGTATAGCCATTTCTGCACAGCATGCGCAGAGGGCCAGTGTCTACCAGAATGGAGCATATCTTTGAAGAATTAAGTATAGGATATGAGTACCAGTGACAGTAACTGTACTCTTCTGGGGTTTGATGCTCCTTTGTAGCCACCCAACTTCAGCCAGGGCTGACCTACTGCTGCCCCCAGTGCTATAGGGTCAGAACAGAAACAAGGATGCCCCTTTTCACCCCCAGTGAAACAGATATTGGATCTACTATGGAGGAAGAAAAAGCTGGTAAACATGCATTCCTTGTAAAAGTCTTTAAACATATGCTAAGCATGTGACTATTGCGTGTGCCATCTTCAATACCACAGAGTTAAGGGTCTTCTCTAACAAAAGCACGGGCTTGCACAAGTGACTGTAACAGAGGTTGAGGTCTCTTGGTGACACATACTGATGCTTGTGCCCTGCAATTCTTGCAGGAGGATCAAGTCACATGTAACTGTCCACAGAAAATGGGAGAGGCCACTAATTGCTGAGTTTAATTTCCTTCCTTCCTTCCTTCCTTCCTTCCTTCCTTCCTTCCTTCTCGCCCTCCTTCTATCCCCCACCACTTTCTTTCTTTTTGGCTGTACAGTTTTATCTCTGGAGACTATGAAGTTTCAGACCACTGGACTACAGCTTGTTATCTGTTCTGCATATGTGTGTGCAGAGTGTGTGAAGGAAGTTGGAGTTATGGGGGTGGAAGTGGAGGGAGGGAGATGTTTCCAGAAATGGAAACATTTGAATTCAGGTTTTTTTTTTTAATTCTTTTGACTTGACTGTAATTACCATACAGCGTGTTTTGGCTATAACTGAGGGGTGCATTGTTATATAATGTCCTGTAATATATAAATTATATGTGTGTGTGTGTGTGTGTGTGTGTGTGTGTGTGTGTGTTTTAAAGGACAAGATGGAGGGCATTGATTAATGAGATTTAAGAGTTAAACCCAGCATCTAAAAGGGGGAAAGTAGGACTATCACAGGGGATCTCTAAATTAAGACTTAAATTTCCATTTTATCACAGATATGCACACAAAAATACCACATTCACACACACACACACACACACACACACACACACACCAGCAAGATCTTTACCAGGGCCCTTCCAAAGCACTAATAATTGAAGAAGTCCAAATGTTTCTCTCAAGTACAAACTCAAGCAGTTTGGTTGTTCTCGGCACTCTATCAAATTGGAACTCCACTGTCACCTTAGATAACACGATGTTAACCTCTTCCAAAACTGAAATGAAACAAAGAGAATCTGCCAGTGGTGGGCAACTCGTATGGTCTCAGCCAGTGGTGGGAGATCGTACAGTCTCAATCAGTGGTGAGCAGATCCTACTGTCTCAGCAAGTTAGATTGGACGTCTTGGGGAAAGCGACTTCATCCTTGTGTGTCTTGATCTTTTCCCTCTGTAGATCGAAAATAATGATGACTGCCATTTGCTCCTGAAGTTAGCTGGGGTGGTCTCTTGGGCTGGGGGTCATCACTGGACCCAAGAAAGTATACTAGGATTTGAGTCCCTGGACTCTGGGGTACTGTTCTCTTTGCAGGGCACTAACGGTGTTCTCTTCCCCCTCTCCTTTTTCCCCTGTCTCTCAGGGTAATCAGGAAGCAGCGGCCGCCCCCGACACAATGGCTCAGCCTTATGCCTCAGCCCAGTTCGCTCCACCTCAGAATGGCATCCCCGCAGAATACACGGCCCCTCATCCCCATCCTGCGCCAGAGTACACCGGCCAGACCACCGTCCCTGACCACACATTAAACCTGTATCCTCCTACACAGACGCACTCGGAGCAGAGCGCTGACACAAGCGCGCAGACCGTCTCTGGCACCGCCACAGTAAGTGGACTCTGCATCCCAGACCTGGACCTTGTTGTTCTTGAGCCCGTGCCGCAGCCCTGCAGCTGCTAGCGGACTCTGTACCCGGTGTGCTGGGCATGTTGTCAAGCAAAGCAGCTCTGAATTTTTCCTTATACTACCAGCTTCCCAGAGATTTCCTTAGTGACTGGATATCCTTCCCTATTCGTTAGAGCGTGTTTCTGTTGGCTGAATTTATTTGTAGCCCTGCACAGGCATCTATTTTCCTGTCTCTAAAGTGATGCGTTCTCCAGAACGCTATGGCAGTAGAATGCGTACTTTAAAACCATTTCGTGGAAATGTGGGGGTCTGGAGATGGAGTTCAGAGACAGAGCACTTGTTTGTCATGTCCAGGTTCTTGGGTTTAGTCTCCAGCACTGCAAAACAAACGGCAACAAAAAAACACAACTTGGACACATAACTTAGATATAGCAAATTTATTTATTTTAAGTGTATGCTTTGCCGATTTTAGAAACATTTACACAGCAGTGTAACCATTGTCCAAATTTGATTTTAGAACATTTTTATTGACTTTAAAACAAAGCATGGGTCCGTTTGCAGGCCAGCCATATTCATTCTTGGGGGAGTGCACTTGAGACTCGTCTATATTATATCATGTGTCCTTAGTTTGTGACATGTTATTTGTTCACTGGATCATGTCAATTATCCAGGATGACCCACAGCTTCCTCTGCAGTGAAAATGAGCTTGAACTTTTGATTCTCCTCCCTGTACCTCTAAAGTGCTGGGGTTGCAGGGATGCATTACCATGTTCAGTTTCTGCAGTGCTAAGAACAGAACCTAGGCTTGGTGCATGCTAGGCAGGCGCTCTTCCAGCTAAGCTATAACGTCTAGCTGTAGTCTGTAAGAGTTTGTTGCTGGCGCATAAGGAAGGGGTAGATGTGAGAGAATATTAGTTGGGCAGGAAACCTGTTGGACCTTAAGAGTATAAACAGAAAAATAGAATTGCTGGGTTAGGATTAAGCAAACAAATCAGAAAACAAAAGACACAGCTTTATCACCACCCTAGTGGAAACTAGTATAGTGGGGTAGTAATCAAGCATGACTGTGGACTCCAATAACTGCATTGATATTAGATGATGCTCATCTGTGAACCATCTTCAGTAATTAAGGATCCATAAACCTGTGTAAGCCACATCCGGGAAACTCCTTTTGCAAGACCCCTTAGAGACACGGATACACACAAGGGCTAGCATGCATTTCACACTTTTCAGGTGTGAAGCAGTGCTGCCTCTCCTCTTCCTTCCACCCTCAGGATCCTGGAAACCAGAATCCTGACACTGCACACACATGTGTTGGGCACCTGACACAACTGTGAAGTATAGGAAATCACTGGGTAACTTCGCTGCTTGGCTCTGTATCTATCTCTATTTTGAAGATACTAAACGTAGCATATACTGTGAAACTTCCTATTGTTTCCAACCTTTTTATTGTTTCTATAAAATGTACATATCACTCAAAATTAATGTCTGGTATACAAAATTCGGAGGCATTATACATTCCCAGGGACTGCAGACATCCCCACCATCTGGTTCTAGAACATTTCCATCTCCTCGGCAGCAAATTCCACACCCATCCCCCATTCTCTACTCCCATCCTCTGCCATTCCTGCTTCACCTGTAGGCTGACAGCCTCTAATGTGCTTTCTAACCTCTTTAGATTTGCCTCTTCTGGGCCTATCTCACACTCAGAGTCCTATAATACAAGGCCTTTGGTGTCTGGCTTCTTTCATTGGGCTTAATCTTGGCAAGGTTCATTGACATTGGTATTCTGTTATGTGCAAAGGATACAAGTAAGTGATATATTCAACTGCTAAAGCCCTCCGGGGTCCTTCTTCCTATTCAGTATCACCCCTTGGTATTGGCTGGCCTGCCTTGGGGATGTGTACGTTAGATTGGTTTCCTGGCTTAGCCAGGTTGTGAGGTGGTCATGTTGACCAAGAGGTGGTAGCTAGGGATGCAGCATGGAAAACACAGATAGTTGCCCACAGATAAACAACGTGTAGTGCATCAGTCCAATGGACTAGCTTTCAGCAATGCAGAGGGTGGAGCTATTTACACCTGCAACAGTGTGGAGGACCTGAAAATAACAGAAAATAGGCAAAAGGAGAAAAACAGGGCATGCCTGTTTGTCATGTGTTTATAGTTTTGTGACAATCAGGTAGGGTCTGGGTATATTGTTCTGGAACTTACAAAATTCTGAATTAGACAATAATTATTAAGACAATAATAACTAATAATGATAATAATATTTAGTAATAACTCTTAGATGGTGAAGGTTAGAATAAGAGGAGCTACTGAATGACAAGAAATTGAGTATCAGATTATAAAGAGAACCAAGAGACCGTGGGAACCCAGGGCCTTAACTCTGCATTGCTGACTTGGCAGTACAGGTGTCAGTGAAGGCCTAGAAGAATGACTTTTTTGGGGGCGGGGGGGGGTACAGTGGTAGAAAGAAACAGTAGTAAGAGGGTCAGAGGTCAAGTACAGGATAGAATAAAAGGTGAAGAGGCAATGCAGGAAGGCCACGAGGGAAAACTGAATGGAGAGACGAGTGAAACAGACTGGGAATCAGAAATCAAGGCACCAGGGCACATCTTAAGCAATGGGGACAATGAGAAAAGAAGGAAGATATCAGTAGAGGAAAAAATACACGAAGAGTTCATAGGCTGGTTGATTTGAGTTCACTAATTTAAGACAAGGGAAAGATATCTCTAAGGGACACAGAAGACAAGACCTTAGACAAAGAAAAGGTACACGGGGGAGGGGCAACTACATGCTTGAAAGAGAAAGGAAAGAAATGAGGCTGTATTCACATTAGAGAGCAGACATAACAGGAAAGAGGAAACTAATGCTTTTGCAACTTTTTAAATGCATAATGTACATACAGTGTACACGTCTGGAAAGTGCACGTTTGATCCATCTGTACCAATGAACACATGCGTAGAACTTTAACCAATATTAAAAGTAATAAAAATATAATCACCTGTAATTTTTCCTACACCTTTGTTACCCTCATGTTTCCATGCTTGGCCTCATCCCTACGCATCTAACTGGCCTCCTCCTCCTTCTACATACTTGGCTTTCAGTGGGCATATCAGTGTAGTCAACATTGGGTGCTCAGGTTTTCTGCTGATCGTCACACTGTCTTTCATTTTTTTCCATGAAGATGGTTGTAGAAGTAGCTCACTGCTTTGTATTGCTGAATACCACTTCATTGCATGGACATCCCTCAGCTTGATTCTTCATTGACTTATGCACAGACATCTGGGTTGCTATCCATGTAAGCTCACAGAAAAGGAAATGAATGTGAACACAAGTAAGCATATCAATTTCCACACAGAAGAGTAGGAAGAATAGGTGTGCTAGACGCACAGAAACTTTGGTTCAAAGCAGAAACTGAGGAAGGGACTTTCTTAAGACCTCCATTTTCTTAATCTGTATGACCTTCATTTTCCACTCTAACAAAATGGTGGTGTTTGGAAAGGGGGATGTGGTTCTGAATTTGGGCAAATGTGCCAGGAATATACTGCTGAAAATTCTTAGAATATTTGAAGGCAGGGAATTCCCGAGTTTAGAGAACATGCTTATGGGGTGAGGCTGGTCATTGCTTTGTCTTCTCTGATCACATGTAATTGATACTCACTATGGGAGAGGGGGTGATTGAAGAAAGACGCTGCCCTTTCTGCTGCAGACAATCATATGCAGATTTGCTCCTTTCTTTGGCCAAAAAGGAAGACACTTCATGTGTCTGGGTATATGCCCTTGTGGAGGGCACATGAGGACTTGAATGTCCTCTATCACTGTCCACCCTAATCTCTTGAGACAGAGTCAATCTCTGGACCTGGATCTCACTGCTTCCTCAGCTAGGTTGGCAGGTCACCAAGGGCCAGCTGCACTGCCCCTGTCTTGGAGGCACACTGTGGTTGCACCTGACCATTGTACATGCAGGCTGAGAGCAGAGCCCAGGTCCCCAGGCTTATGCACGCATGCTTTTGCCTGCCAACCCTTCTCTCTACATTCATATCTCCTTCTGAACCATATTTTTTTCTAATCTGAACTTGTCTGCAACAAGTTTACTTTCAAATCATCTCCATCTCCCTACATCTTGATGGAGTTGTTTTCTCTTTCTCTCAAGTTCTATATTTTGTATGGAAGGAACTAGACTTCAAAGTGGGTCAAAAAGATGGTTCTCTCACTGATACGTACAGTCTTATATTAGCAAGAAGTTACTCTTGAGCAGAGCCTGTAGCCCAGTTCTATAGCACGTGCTTAGCATGAACCACGGGGGGGGGGGGGGGGGCAGAAAAGGTTAATGCTGGGAGAACAGCTAGGCTCTTCCTCATAGGAGAGTGTTACTCCTGGAATAACCATCCTTTGGCATATCTATCTGTGGCATTTTAAGGACATTGTGGAGGCCATGCTTTCTTGGAGAAACCAAATGGTTCAGGGTAAAAGAAAACACCCATCCATATGGTGGCCTCCAAGAACATCTAATATATGCACATGACTTCACACAAATTGCAGGATCTCGAAAGGGAGGCGGCGTGCAACCCTGAGCTCCCAAGCAGACTAAGTAAGGCATGGGCAGAAAAGCCATCCCCAGGCCCTGAGACAACTCCCTGCAGGATGTTTTCTGCTGAGTTTCTATTTTGTGTACAGTTCCAAACATATCCCAGCTCACTGTGCTGACAGAGCCTTTGCGGTGTTCTTCCCAGATACTGTTCCTCATGAGGTATTTTACTCTTGACATATTATAATTAGAGACTTGTGAGTGGAGAATTCTCCGCGTGTCTCCAATGGCAGCTTGACTTCTATTTTTAACATGTGTTCTGCAGTCTGCCTAAGTCTCCTACACTTTCTCTCTCCCTCTGAACTCTGATGGGATAAAGAACACAGGTCCCTGAACTGAGTCTCCAGCCTGCATTTGCTGACAGGGAGAGGAACTACCTAAGAAGCCTCTG